TGCGCAAATTATGCGAATACAGCAGAAATGAAAATTCGGAAATGAGTAACATTTTGAAGATCTATTATTCAATTACCACAATTAAATTTATCATGCAAACGGACAAACTTTATGCATTATTCTAATGGAATCTTAAATATTCATCAACACTCGGTTTGCAATTTAATTAATTTCCTATTTCGCCTGTTGTTTATCTATCAAAACCCACGCTGACATAATGAAACAAAGGAAGTTCCGCCGTTCCGGGTCAACAGGATCCACCCACTCCAATTTCCCCCGAACTCATTTGCATACGAGGTGCTATCAAAATAAAAATTTTACAATTCCAAATGAGGGTGAGAGGCTAACTTGGTATGCAAATTGAACAGACAGAAACCGCAGCAAAGTTTGCGATGGGCCAAAAAAAAAACATAAAGGTGAAGTTCAAAGTTTCCACTCTGCTTGATATGATATGTTGGAGCCTCGTACGCCCCTGGTATTGTTTAAAAATCTGTTGAATATGCAAATTGCACTTAAACGATTGCGGGCGACCATTTTTGTACATATTCAAGTGAGCTTTTACTCTTAAGTAAATTTAATAATTTATCACCTTATTTAAGGCTTAAAGCTGCTTTCCAATTGGCCTCCTTTTTGAATTTTTTCTTACTTTTTCTGTTCATAATAAACGATATTTTGTTTTCAACACACTGATAAGCAGGCACCCAAAATTTCACCATTTTAAAATGTTCAAACACATTATGCTACTCAGATACGACCAAGGAAAAAGTTTTCTCTCCGCTATTTTTCTAGTCTCGCTTTTAGTATTTGTAGAGCAAAGTTTAGAGCTTAAGTTTTAATACAAAAGTATAAGTTAAGTAGAACAATACATAATGTAAAAGCTTGTATATTGGTAAATCAAAAAACATTTGAACGGAAAATAAATTTCTTAAACACTCTTTTACTATATTGAAAAATTAAAAGAAATGCATTTTTAAAGAATTATTTTAGAAATGAGTTTGTCCAAAGAAACTTGCAAACTTATATTTATAATGCAAGACTATTAGAACTCATCAAATAATTTGCTTAATACACAACTAGTTTGAACAGCTTAGCTTAAAATTCTTCAGGTTAATTGAACTCAACTAATCTTGCTACTTTCGCCTGGATCCAAATTCAGCTCAGTTCAATTCCACCTGAAACACATTTAGGGCATTTCAAATTCTGTTCAAAGGTTGGCATTTCACTTGCCTTGTTTAAGTGCCATTTGTGCGTTATTTTTATAAAGTTGCCTCATGAATTATTCATAAACGCAGCAGACGTACCGTAACGTTAGAAAAACAGCAAAAAAAAGGGAAAATCTTTAAGTTTTATACCTAGGAAAAGAGCTATCGCTGGAAGGACAAATTCTGCCGGCTGGCAGGCGGACCTCCTTGGCAAATACGAAAATCTGATTAAATTATGGAAAACTTTCTAATTGGTTTGTTATTAAGACAGCGATTACCATAAATTACATTTGAAATAAGTAAGCCATTTGGCGGCTACACAGCAATTGATGGAGCCGTTTCCGAAATGGCTTAGCAAATTATCTCAGTCGAGTGAGCTAGAGAACCGGAACCAAACAATGCGAAATCCTTGCCTCATGTTTAATGCACTTGACAGGCCCAGACCCAAAACCATCAAGAAAACCCCAATTTACGGGCCCAAAGTTATGACTTTTACGCCCCATTATCGCTTAAATAATTTAGCCAGCCACGAAAAGGAAAACTGAACGCCAAAATGGCTAGGAAAACAAGAAAACCTTGCATAACTTATGGCCAATACAATGAGCAGTGGTGTGAAGTGGGCAGGGCCTGCATTTATAAACAGGCAAATTAACCGCAATTAGATTTTTACAAGGCGTACGAAAACATTGCATGAAAAAATGCGAAAAATGACCGCACTGATTACAATTTCGCGCTCCAGTGTGTGGAGTCTGAATAATCAAGTGGTTGAAATTAAGAAAGAAATCCACTCGGGTCGGCCAAATTTAAGGACTTCCAAAAGGCCCGTCAAACAATCGCCGGCACGGTGGCAAAAAGTAAACATTATTTTTTCAGCCTGTCAATTTCGTGCTTTTTAATTAAAATCCGGCGTGCTCAGGTACAGAGTAAACACGGCGACGCCAAAAGGGATAAGCAAGGCAAAAGGTTCTCTAATTAAAAAATAGAAAGCAGTGCCCTTCAAAACGTCCGGGATCTCCATCCATCACTTGATGATGCATGGCCTTGAGGTGTGAAAAATTCGGACCCATTTTTAAATAGACTTAAGTCGGTCCGCTTCCTATTTTCGCTCTTAGCTTGGGGGCAATGGCACCGCCTGCCATTTATTTGGCTCAGTTCTCGAAATTAATTAAATACTCGCCGGGCGAAAGGTCAAGAATGGAAATGGTTTTCCCTAGTGCCAACAATTAGCCTTTAAGAGGTCCACAATCGGGTCGGATGTTTGTCCAAGAAAAAAAGGAAAAGGAAAACTGAAGCAGAAACAGAAACAGAAATTTGCTTTGCTCAGAAGAAACGGAAATTTTAACTAACTAGGGGCTTGAAGGCATGACGCTTCATCGCCCATCTCACGCTTTACAATTAAGTATTTTGATAAATTTAAATAGTTAAGCAAATAGTTCATGAAACTTAAATGCAGCAGCCTTGATATCTTAAAAGTATCCGTTGAGTTGAGACGTCAAACAACAAATTTTAAGAAATGTATAAGAAAACCTTACAAGATGTATTTGAGGATTTTATAAAGGTTTTATAAGGTTTATCCAAATCGGGAAACTAAGTCCTGCTATTATTATAGGAACGATGCGCTAAAATTGTCTTTAATTTTGAATAAATTAAGCTTTGGCTACTTTGATATTTACAGTTCCTTAGAGGAAACAAAATCAAAGAAACGCTTACAAAATTGCGGGCTCAAAGCAATCTGGCCGCTTAAGCGTGCTTGATTTGATTAGTCAATTAACAGCTCAGTTGTCAATCGACGACGCCGTCAACGCTTTAATATCTCCACAGTTTGTCACCCAATAATCCAATCTTAAATCATTTTCATGGCTCCTGTTTGTTTGTGGGAATGGGGCAAATAAATCGAATACCCATTCACACGGCCACGCCCACACAATGTCAATGGGGAGCGGCAAAAACAGGACCAGAAATGAGATAGACTGCCGTCAGAGATGGGCTGGGCCATAAATAAGGATCCGACCAGGCCGGGCCGAAGTACGCCGTGTTCCGGTGTATTTTTAATGCCACAATTAAATGCAAATACAATAGGGCGAGGAAAAAAGATGGAGCTCGCTGGCTGACAACAACACGGAGCAGGCAAATGTTGAAGGATGGCCCTAGGACAGCTGAAGGACTCCCGGACGGACGGATCTGTTCCCTATCAACAGCTTTTTTTCCCTTTTTTTCCCTTTTTTTTTGCGGCAGGAAAAATATTTTTGATGCTGACAACAAAAAACACTGGCGAGCAACAGCCTGCGGAAAATATATAGACAAACGCCACGCCCCCGCAACCAGCACCACAGCCCGCCCTCGGCAACAACAATGTGCCAAAGTAGCTGGAAGACAAAGGGAAAGAAAGGGAGTGCAGAATGGCCGGAGGTCCTTGGTTGTAGTTGGGTAAAATGCGCCACCCACACATACATGCACGACACAAATGAGATATTCACTTAAATTTAATTTCCATTATTTTCATGAAAGCATATTTTAATTTGCTTTATTGGCCACTTTCGTCAAGCAGCCCGAATACCAATATGAAAAAGGGGATATATAAAATATTTAGCATTCAATGTTTCCCTTGGACGGCGATGGCTGAGGTCGTTAAGTATTTTTAATAATGTGCTATTATGGAAATAAAAATAAGGAGAACGCGACAGGTCCAGGTCACAGACAGATTTCTTGTATGTCAATAGTTGAACAGTGTTTATTTTTCCTAACAAATTAATTAAATGGCATATAAAATAAATTTAATGTTCAGACTCCTGCAGAAAAAGCCTGATTTATTTACTCTCTTTTCCCATTATTTCATTTCATCAGCGGTTTCGCTCGGAAAGACTGCACAACTAATTGAACTGCCACAAATACCGCGATGGTCGGAAAAATACCCGTAATTGTGCCAGCCACACTTTGACACTTTTGGCGAGCGCATCGCTTAAGTAAGGTAAAATAAAAGGACAGCAAAATATTATGTTTCACTTAATATGGCGCTCCTCCACCATCCCCAGGCAGAATTCCATCCATTTTTTTTTGTTTCAAAAAACAGAAAACAGCAAAATATATTTCGCAGCTTTTTTCTGACAGCCTGCTTCCGTAGTTTGTGTTTGAGAAATGCTTTGTATACTTTGTTTGCGCCCTAATAAAAACAAAGGACGTTCAAAAAAAATGAAGTTTTCGCTTGGACAGTTTTTTGTAATAGGCGAATCATTCAAGCAAAACGGCTGTGGGTAAAAAATAAAAAGAATCAATATCTGTAACAAAAATGCAATTAAGTTCTGACTGAAGCCCCGAGGCAAACAAGCACTTCTTAATTACTCTCATAAGTTTCGATATTCCCAACTGTGATTTATAGATTTTCTGCAGCGCTCAATCACCGAAATATTGTGGACATGGGGCCCCGGGCTCTAATGCCATTTGCAGTGGTGGCAACTGTGGTGAAACGTGACCGGCCCACAAAGTGAATTCGTTTATTGCCGGCGGAAAACTTGCCCTGGAAAACGCAATCTGAAGGCGGCGTGTGGCGGGAAAAGCGAGCACAGTTGTGCCCCGGTTAGTTGCAGCTCTTAAGCCGGTTTACCTTTGGCAATTCTGTTTAATTTCCCTTTGCGCTCGCTCCACTTGCAGTTAATGTAAATGAATGAATATTCCATTAAAAGTCAACTCGCAGAGCGGGAAACTCGGAGCAACAGGCAACCGGGGTCTTTAAGCTGCGAAAATGCAAATTGCCTTCCCGACCAACGCCCCATTGACGTAACTCGCAGTGCGTCGCGCAGCTTAATTGGGATATTGAATTCGCCCGCCAGCTCGGGCTCTACATATTTATTTACAAAAGGCAGCAGGCTCTACTCGGTCCCCATCCGCCATTTGCCATCCGGCATCCGCCTACTCAATGTCGTCCTCGTCGACCAGCGTGGCATTCGGGTTGGTCAACAGTAGGGCCTCGTTGTGGTGCCTCACGTTGTAGTAGAAGAAGAAGGACTTGCTGTACTCGAAGGTGGAGATCATGATGGCGCAGGCAGGGGCCACCTTCAAGAGCCGAGGTCCGCATCCGGCGAAGAGTCCCCTCACTCCGTGCAACCTGTAGATGGCCGTCAGTCGGCTGTAGGTGGACTTCTTGCCGAAGTCCCTGGCGGGTGAGTCCGTGAAGATGACCCTTTCGCCAAACTCGATCTGTTCGTGGGTCTTGACCACGTCGAAGGGAGTGGTCACGAGGGCGGCCACCGAGCCCGCCAGTACGCCAGCCAGAAAACTCAGACTAAATGAGGGCTGCGAGCTGTGGCCCAGTTGCTGCTTGAGGTACTCGTAGATGGGCCAGTAAATCCCCGAGAAGGGCACGTCTCGGAGGATCGTGGGCCGTAGACCGCGCCACAGTCCCCACACTCCCTGCAGGGCAACCACATTCCGGACGAACTGCAGCATCTGGGCGTAGGTCTGGCGCTGGGCCTGCATCTTGGTTCTCACCAGCTCGATGGGACTCACCACCGTGACTGCACAGATGCGGGCCGTGACCCCTGACATCATGGGAATCACCAGAGGCAAGCTCATCTTGGTGTCCCTAAGAAAGGCAAAAGGTTAAGGCGATAAAAGTATGTAAGTTTTGGTTAACAAAAATGGAAACAAACTTTGGCAAGCCAAAGTTTATATACCCTTGCAGTTATTTCGAATTATATAAGTATCGATCGTTCTTTTGGCAGCTATATGATACCGTTTTCTGATTTATATCAAATTAAAAGAGCAATTCTGATTATTAAACAATTTATATATATATATAAATAATTACAAAAAATTAGAGATGTTACAACTCTTTTTCATTTATTTTGTTTAATATTCCGATTCTTCTTATGAGAGCTATATGATATTGTCTGCCGATTTTGATCATACTTAAACCCATATATTCATATATTCCTAAATAATAAACCACTACAAAATATCAAAGAACTATAAAATTAAAAAAAAACAATAGCAAAGCTTTAATTTTTCTTCATTGCTTTTCCCAATTGTTCCATTGGAGCTATATGATATTGTCGTCCGATCCGGCTCATTCCGACTTGTATACTACCTGCAATAGAAAGGCAACTTTTGATAAAATTTCAAGCCGATAGCTTCTGATCTATAAATTGGAAATAATCATTTTTTTTTTAACATTTTGAAAGTTTCGACTTTTAAAAATATGATCCTAAAGGATTTTCAAAATATGAATTATTTTCGGAAACACAGCCAATTTTGTGACGTGGCGTCCAATCCATTAAAATAGTTTCCTAAATTCTAAACGCTTTTTTTTGAAACTACTATCTTTGAAGTGGTTGACATGATATTTCAAGTTCTACTGAATCGATCCCTTTGAAATTTGGTATAAAACTTGTTTATACCTTACCCTATCGCGTCTACCTCGAAATTGAACAGATTTTAATTATAAGTATTTTTAAAATATTTATAATGGTCGAAAAAATTGGTTGTATAAATCTTTTGTTTTTAAGTCTATGACGTTTTGATATTTTTCATTTTTTCTTTTGAAAGAATTTGTTTGATTTTATTTCCGATCTCTAAAAAGGCTATTTTTTGAAGACCCCACCCTACAAGAATGTATCTCGATGAATATTGGGGTTTTAAACTTTTTATTTTATATAAAAAATTGTATACTAAAAACGTTTTTCTTATATTTTTTATCTTAATTGAAAAAGTACTTAAAATTCAGACTTCTAGACCAGAATACTCCCTTAAAACAGATAGACTATAGATATAAATCCATTACTGTGCTGCACACTTTTAACTTAAATTAAATTTAAAGCGAACAAATGTATTTTGTTGAGGTTTAACATCTATATCAACAAGCTAATCCCTTTAACATGTAAGGATTACTTAGTCGATTTAATTCAATAATTTTAGCCAGTATTTGAAATATTGAAATATTCTTAAATCAACACGACAAGCACCCTTACTAACCATTAGAATGCGTATTTTTAAAGTAGAAACTGGGGTATGCCTTCCTAATCCTAATAATTACAAAAAAGACATGACATAACACAAGAGAATAGGCAATGTTTTTCTAATTTTTAAAAAAGAATTTTTTTTGCTACAGTTTAGAACACTTCCTGTGTCTGTGCCCAGCGCACAACCATAAAAGATTCAAACATCTGAGTAGCTACACTTTACCCAACCTTCCGGACATTTAACTAGACAACCTTACACGGTTTAAGCATCACACCGAATGGTTCGAGAAGACAATTTTTTACGAGGTTAGGGAAATACCTTTTAGAGATTACACGGCATAACAAGGGGCCCTTGTCCCTCCAACCCCAGCCATACTTAACCCAACCTAACATCAGCCCTTGCAGTGGGTACTACAATTTTAGTCAGAAGTTTGCAACGGCAGTGAATGAAATATTATATTCGAACCCCATAAACTATTACATACAGGATGACTAGAGAATTTGGTATAGTTAGAACGTCTGTCCGTTTCTATACAAACTAGCACCTAAGGTGTAACATAAAGCCATAATGATGACAGTTATTTACGGAATGTGCAGCATCGCTTGCGGATTCACTTTAAATGTCTTTAATCGACTTGGAACGGAGCCCTTGGAGTGACTCTTTTGGGCTTAAAGAATACCCAGATGTAGCTAAAACAGACGAAAAAGCTGGTTACGGAACTATAGGGATCTATTTGTTTGTGAAATGGTCACGCAAAAAGTTCAATTTATATTCCTTTCTAAAAATTTGGCCATGGGAAGGGAATTCATAATGCACCATTTCACGATGGGAAAAAGACAACTTTATTCTGTCCACAACACTGTTTCTTCAATCACGAATTAACTTTTGTAAGGCCTTGTTTCAACAAGGTCAGTAAGGACGCAGAGGAAAATGTTGTTAGTCATTATATGCTAATGGTATTCCTGTCCATGTCTTCTCGACTCTCTAATATCCCTTATAAATGTATATACTTTAATTTCCCCAAACTTTTGGCTACAGTAGGAAAATGGTCCCGTAGCTTTAAAGGTCGTTTGTGTTAATCTATGTTGCCTGTTGATTGGCCAGATGTGCTTACATGCTTAAGACAGCAAGTTCAAGGGGTGTTTAATATGAAATGCTTCCCGGTGATTGGACCTACCTGAGGTCCAGCTGCCGGGACTTCGGACTCCTGTTCAGATGGCGCTCGTACATCTGGAGGTACTTGGCCTTGAACTGTTCGTAGGCCACGAAGTAAATGATCGTGGAGGGCAGGGCGGATACGAGAGTGGGTCCCAGGCCGGACCACAGGGCGCCCAGTCCCTCATACCGGCTGATCTTCATCAGGGCATCCCAGGTGCTGGAGAACTGAGGCCTCGGCCGGCGACTGCCCTCGGCGGGGCCACTCTGACCGCTTGAGAAGAGGTGGTCCATCAAGCCGTTCGAGTAGAAGAAGCACTTGTGCGCCGGCGACTGCTGCGACTGCATCCGGGTCTTGATCACGTCCAGCGGCGTCATGAAGCAGGCCGTGATCATGGCCCCGGCACAGGCCGAGATCACCTGCTGCAGCGGTCGGATCCGGAAGCGCGGATCGCTCAGGACTTTCCGGTGCGCCGAATGCGGCACCGTCGCTTCACGGGCGCTCCTTTCGGACCTGGGCTCGCTGTCGCCAGCGGCGCTACTACCGACTCCACTGCCACCGGTGCCACCGCACTCGCCGTCGCCCAAGGACCTCCTCCGCTGCGGGATCAGGCGCGGTCCGCGACCCATCGCCATCTCCGACTCGGCAGGATTCGCCTCCGCGCTGGATGCGCCGCTGTCTTCCTTCGACATGGCAGTGGCAGCTGCGTCTGCTGAGCTTAAACAGTTGGAAGTCGATCTGGTTTTGAAGTAGCATTTATAAATTTACATTGTTTAATTTCACATTGAAGGGAGATCCGAAAAATGTGACGTTTTCGGTGGAACTTTACAGACGGCCCAAAAATGAGGAATAACTATAAAGAGAGCAACTTTCGGCAAGTCGAGGTTTATATAGCTATACAGCTTTTACAAACAGTAAATAATTTTAACAAAATCTAAATTTTGAATTATATGTTCGAAAACATTGAAGCTTTAATGATTTTCGGCTCAGTTATTCGATCGTTCCAATGGTAAAGAGTAATTCTGATCTATTTATCCATTATTATGTCCAACAGACTTTAAAAAGAATTAGTCTCTCAGTTTTAAAGCTATCTGCATGAAACTTTTCCAAAAGTTGTCTTTCTATTGCAGGAGTATATAAGTCGGAACGAGCCGGATCGGACGATTATAGCATATAGCTACCATAGGAACAATCGGAAAATAAATGAAAAAAAATTATGACTTTGCTGTTTTTTAATTTTTTGTTTAGTTCTTCGACATATAGTAATGGTAAAATATTTCAGCATTACGGTTTAAATTTCATTAAAATCGGACGACTATATCATATAGCTCCCATAGAAATAATTAAAATATATAAAATAACTATCAAATAATTGAGCTGCAAATCATCATAGCTTCAATGTTTTTCAACATATACGCAAGTAAATCATAATTTCAATGTTTTCAAAAACATTGCAATAGCTGCAAGGGTATATGAACTTCGGCTTGCCGAAGTTTGCTTTCTTTCTTGTTTTAGTTGTTAGACATATATTATTGGTTAAATATTTTAAAATTGTGGTTTAAATTTCATCAAAATCGGACGACTATATCATATAGCTCCCATAGAATTAATAATACTTTATAGGATCTGACATGTCTCCTTCACTGCCTTGCAAACTTCTGACTGAAATTAGAATACCCTCTGCTAGAGTATAAATTTGAATATCATACATTGCTTTGTACCCTTCTAGCTGAATTATTTTCTAGGAAGACCTATCACTTAACACTCGTCAAATTTTATCCTTCCTAACTTGCACTTTTGCAGAGCATTGCTTCAAATGGTGGTGGCTGAAGCTTTTGAATTATGTGTTTGTTTTTAAGCAGAGTTCATGTTATTTTAAGTTTAATATGTTTTTTTTTTCTTGAGGCGGTCTAGTCTTTTTACACTTCTTTTTTAGTGGGAGCATGGCCAAGCCTAAGACAAGAAAAACATAAAGAATAGGAGCTTGAAGCGCTGCTGAAAACACGATAAAACACTTGCTGTAAGTGGAGGAAGGATGCTGTGGTTGCCAGAATGTTTCCCTAATATGATTTTGTTTCGACACAACTGTGTTGCAAGGCCAACACGAAAACCGAAAATAAATGGTTAGCTACAAGAAGAAATGCTCTTGATAATAAATTTAACACGACAATTCAGAGCAACAAACAAATTATTAAGTTAACTTTTTTAGAACAACAATTTTAATAATTTTTAGTGAGTCGTTCATATAGACATAAGCTTACTTTCTACTTTAAAAAGTAATTTAATTACGAAGAACAAAGTTTTTTCGTTTTTTGACGCTTAACCTAAATTTTCGGGAGGCTTTTTTCTAGCTTCGGTCACCAGTACGAATTCTTGAAACGGCTGTTGTAAATTATAATGTATAAACTTGAATAATAAACTAGCAAAATATAGAAAGAATAAAAAATGTTGAATAATTTAATCACACGAAATATCTGAAAAAACGCCAGAAAATTCACATAAACACTCGTGATTTATTAATACAAATTTTTTGTCTCTTCCGTTACTTTTTAGCATTAAAACAATAAACTCGATTTAATAAACACACCAAACCAAAAATAAAAAAAAAAATAAACACAAAAACTTAAAAAAAAGCAAGGCTTACGTTTTGACGTAATGATTGAAGGCCAAAGAAAAGGAATCCCCCCCTAAACATGGCAAAAAGGTTGGCCAAAAATTGAGGGAATATATGGGCTGCAAAACAGCATGAGGTAGTCACCTGTTCAAGTTACTATATCCCCAGTAAGAGTATGCTACTTGAAGGGGAGACAATGGGCGGGTAGGCGGGCGGACCTGAAGGTAGGTCTCCAGCGAAATATGCCAACATGCATATGACATACTAACTAGCGCTGCTTTGCATCACCTCACGTCCAACCCCGCCCAATTTCCCCTCCCGGAATACCATTCAGCTGCGTGACAACGTACCCGTCATCACATCACATGCAGACATTGTCTTACAGTTATGACTGGCGTTGCTATTTGGAATTCGACACGTACGCGGTTGTCCCAGGACACGTAGAACGGTGTAATCCGGGGCAAGGATGTTCCAGGGGCGTTTGGTGCTGGCGAAGGGTGGGTCGAGGGGGCAGCATGTGCTGGTGTCGATTTTGACACGTTGCCCGTGGGTGGAAGCTGGTAATTGTGGTGTAAAACTGTAGAATAACAGCACTTAGCTGGCTGCTAATATGAGCACGTGTTTGCTTTGTTGCACAACACGGCGTATGCGCAATACTCATACTTCGCTCCGAATCGATAAATAAAACTGCACACAAAGGCCAAACGAAGTGAACTCGTTAGGCCTTCAATTTGCCATTAGCATGCTGTTTTAATAAGGAATTTCGGTTGTTAATCAACTACCCAGACAAATGACTTGTCGATTGAAATTAGAGAAACATTTGCACTCAATATTGTCTATCGGCAGCATCTGCGCCGAGCAGATAATAATTATAATCAGCTTAGGGCGGTGAGTTTTCCATTAACTGCTGCCAGTTCTTATGCATATCCTTATTTAATTAAAGTCTAGGGTAAACAGCAAAGGAATGCTGACGAGCGCCGGTAAAAGCAATTGAAAGGGCTTCGATGGGTGGATGGTTGGATTCGACATATGGCGGGCCAAGGAAAATTCACAGATACCGAAAGTCACAAAGGCCAAAAAAAAGGAGAAGAAAAGAAAAGAAAAGAAAGAGGGAAAGCGCGGGAAAGACACGGGAAAATGTGGCACGCGGCATTCACCGCACAATTCCATTACGTAAAGCAAACATCAGATGGCGATGGCTGCGCTGCATGATTGGGTTTGCTACTTCTTGCGGCTCCCCGCCACCCTTCCCATGTGGGCGTGGCGCCAGTAAAAGCAACATATTGAATATTGATGGGCATCGATTTCGACTTGAAAGCGGGAAAAGTTCAAGCCAACAACCCACACACACGCAGGCATGCTCTTTGTTTATAATAAAAACATGTGCAATTTCTTGCAGCTACGCATTCGATAGGACTCAACACTATGCAGCAAATTCATTTAGCAAAAATAAATCAAAGTTGTCCGTTTCCAAAACTTCAATTGAAATAGTTTTTCGTTTCAAAATACGTTTCCCGACGAAATTAACAAATATACGGCAAGTCGATGTTTATAAGGCCTTATTAGCATCGTTACAAATAATAAAGTCGACTTTCTGATATATATTTTGATCGCTTCTATTGCAGGTCTGTGATATCAGGAAGATGCTTCCTTCGAATTTAAGAAATTTATTAAGTTTAGGTGGTATGTGTTTCGGCAATCGAAAAATATACTTTCTATTTTGAATTTGAGTGTTTTAATTGCGCTTACATTTCATACCTACCTCAGATTTGAAAAGTCGTTCCTGTTGGTATTGCTTCTTGCAAAAATGTTTATGTTTGGACTTAATTATTATTTCTTATTATTTCTTATTGTTAACCACATCCTAACGATGCAAGACAAGTCATAAAATTTCATGTACTAGTCACTTAAAAAATCACAATTAATTACAAAATTAAGAAGGGAAATAAACTTTGGAAAGCCAAACATTGTATTTTACAAAATAACATATGTTATGATTTTAATGCTTATATGTAAAACAACAGTGAAGCTTTGTTGATTTTCCGCTAAATGTTTCGAACATATGGCAGCTTTATGATGTCGGTATCCGATTTTAAGAAAATCAAAACAGTAGTTGTGAAAGAAAACCATTACCCTATCAAAAAAGTATGTTCGTAGAACTTAAAAACAGTTTAGTCTTATAAACTACATGGCTTTTTCGACTGTGCCCATGTTCCTCTATTCATCCATAAAATATTCATCAACATTAACAAACTAAGTATTAAATTGTGCAGTGATTTTGAAATAGCATAAATTTGTATAATTTGAACTGGGCTAAAAATTGAAACGAACATATTGTACAATAGGTATCTGTATAAATTATAACAAGCAGAAACGAAAGTCAAGAGCCTTAAATATTAGACATGGTTCTGTGCTTCTGCTATGGCATTTTTATGTTTTGAAAGACTTTTATGAAGATAATTGGACTCCGGTTAAACTTTTGACAGCCGAGTGTAAGTGCACTCAGCGCAGTTAACTGGCTGCGGCGTCTGCGAAGCAATTTGTGAACTCTCGACGAGCATTTAAAACAATTGGTGCCAAACAATTACGCGGAGGGTGGCTCTTGCGAGCGAAAATGGGACGGAGTGCGTGGAAGGAAGCCAAAGACTTCCTCGCCAAATTAGCGACAAATGTGTGGCAGCGGACTGGGGGCGTGGCAAGGGGGCTGGGCAGACAACGACCCAAATTGCAAATTGCAACAAACTTGAACGAAAGTGGGGCAACGATGGCGACAACGAGCGCGACAATGGCCGCTTTGTCTGCGCAAGCTGGTAATAAGCAAATTAAACGCCAAGAGAACGCGGCCCTGCAAAGTAGGCAACAATAAAAACCCAGTGGCTTGCCAATGCGAATGGAGTGACTTGGCGCATTAACACCCTGATGCCGCCACATGCCGCCAGCCGCCACATGCAACCGAAGCGCAACATCATGGGGGTTAATTGCCACTCAATGTATGGCAGCACGAACAATTCATGGCTATGCTTGAGCGACCCACACGTCCCAATCTACAGTAGCAGTAACAGACAAAATAGCTGACATAAATAAAGTTTTAACATTATCAGTGTTTGGTATTGTTTCATAACAAGTTATTTGGTTTTTTACAAATGCTTTGGCAGCTGAATCCATTCTGATGC